GTGACTGGTATAGTGAAACTTCCAGGATCCTTGGACTTTTGAGGCAATGATTTTTGGAATATAGCACTGCATCCTGCCTCTAACTCTACTGTTTCATCAGTAAATCTTCTTTTCTTAGTTAAGAGCTCTTTCATGAATTTGGCATATGTTGGCATTTGCTCCATAGCTTCCACAAATGATATATTAATTTGCAATTGCTTGAAAATATCCATGAATCTTGCAAACTGTCTTTCTTTATCTATTTGTGAAGGAGCCTTGGGATACGGTAACTTCTCTACAAATGGTTTTTGACTCCCTCCTTTTTCTATCTTCTCTTCGTTCTTCTTATTAGGAATATGTCTTTCTTTATTATTCTCATCTTCTTGCTTTTCATCTTCTTTTACCAAAACTTCTTCTTCAACAACTATATTGTCACCAATCCCCTTACCTACAACTTTTCCACTCCTTGTAGTTATTGAATTGCATTGCTCCTTTGGATTGGTTTGTGTGTTAGCTGAAAACTGTCCTCCTTGTTGTCGCTCGAGATAATTGCTTAGCCAGTTGGCCTATTTGGGTCTCTATATTTTTGAATGAAGCCTCAGTATTTTTCCGATTAACCATAGTGCTTTGCATAAATTTTTCTACAATATCCTCCAATTTACTTATTCTCGTCGAGCACTCGAAGGATAATGTCTGTTGCTGCTTGTTGATATGGAGGTTGCTTGATATGACTCGTTGTTGAAATGCAGGTTGTCCTTGTTTCCACCCAAAATTTTGATTCTAATTTTGATTCCTCTCCATCCTTGTGCAAAATTATTCTGATAATTATTGAGATTAGGAAAATTACCTTGTCCGCCTTGACTACTACCTTGGGCCCCCATATAATTAGCTTCTTGTTGCTGAATGTTGCCTTGATAAGAGCATTGTTCATTTGAATGATCACCTCTACACAAATCACAACTCATCTGTTGATTAGGAATAATTTGTACTGTGTGCATTTGATGAGGTAATTTCTCTATTTTCTGGTTCAATGCTTCAATTTGTTGGGTCAAAATTTTATTCTGGGCTAAGAGAGCATCTGTGGTGTTAAGTTCAAGGACTCATTTCCTTTGAATTGGATGTCTATCATGTTGGGCCTGTTGGTCTATAAAGGCTAGTGCATCAATAATTCCGTGGCATGATCAATTTCTACATCCAACATAGATCCTCCTGCTGCAGCCTCTAATAACATCTTTGCATCATGTCGCAAGCCAAGTATAGAAAATATTCAACCGAGAAACGTCATCAAATCCATGATTTGGGCAACTTCTCAACAGTGATTTAAATTTCTCCCATGCTTCACAAAATTGCTCATCTCGCTCCTTGTCCGAAAGAAGTGATGTCGATTTGGCTTTGATGTAGCGGGATGGTGGGAAAAATCTGTTCAAAAACTTCTCTTTTACACTACTCCAATTAGTCAAACTCTGATTAGGATGTGCTTTCAACCATTCTTTTGCCCTACCTGCCAAAGAAAAAAGAAATAATATCAAATATGCAGATTCAAGATTTGTTGCTCTAAATCCCATGGTACCAATCAACTCATAAAAAGTAGACAAATGAATATAAGGGTCTTCATGATCCAATCCAGTGAATTGATGAGCACTAATCAAGCTTAAGAAAGTCTGGATTCATCTGCAATGTATGATCGTCCGAATGACAATGCTGGAAAAATGTCTTGGACCTTGCTGCATAGCACAATTTCTAAGAGTTCTTCTAGGTGGATTTGCATTTGGATTTTGATTTGGATTTTGATTTGGATTTGGATTTTCTTCTGCCATATCTTCTATAATTGAGTCTGATAAATCAAGTGCGAAAGAAGAATTAGCAGATTCTCTTGTAGTTTGTTCTTGAGTTTCCCTTCTTCTGAAGATACCTGTCCTCTTAAATGCATAAATCAAAAGAGTAACTCAAACAAATATTAGCACAAACTAAAAACTAAATAATAATAATGAAAATAATGATAATAATGATAATAATAATACTAATGATAATGATAATAATAATAATAATAATGATAATAATAATGATAATAATGATAATGATAATGATAATAATAATGATAATAATGATAATGATAATGATAATAATAATGATAATGATAATAATAATAATAATAATAATAATGATAATGATAATGATAATAATGATAATGATAATGATAATAATAATAATAATGATAATAATAATAAAAACAGAAATAAAAATAAAATACTCAATAAGCTAAACAAAGAATTCTCAAAGAATACCGTTCCCCGGCAATGGCACTAGAAATACTTGTTGAATTATTGGCAAGCGTACCAAATTATCAATCGCAGTATAGTATTTCGATTAAATAAAAGTCGATCCCACGAGGAACAGTTTCAATGGAAATTCCCAATTATGCTTACTAAGTATATTAAAACAGAATAGGTTTTGCAAATAAGAGTTGAATTGAAATTAAATGACAAAGACTTGTAAATGGTTGAGAAAATATCAATTAAAGGTACTTAGGATTGACTTCCTTTCTTATCCCTCTTTTGTAATGGCTAAATCAATTAAGAACGTCAATTAACTTAACAATGTTGATGCCACCTACTCAAATCATCCATGTTGATTCCTCAGACATGAAATTTGTAAGAAAACCTAATAAATGTTGATTCCTCACACAATTAACAGATTTTCCAGCATTAGGGTTATAGTGTTAAGCAATTGATACATTCATTCCATTCCTGGCAATTAACGTAACAAATATTTTTATCGTGATCTAGGGTTCAAGATATATTTTCCAATCATACCTCAAACAATCAAGAATAAATCATTCCAAAGCATAAAGGATAAGAATAACAACATCAAAACATAGATTAATATATCAAAATATCACAATGATACAAAAGAGTTCAAAGGAAGTGCACCGAATCCTAAGAGAATGAAGTTAGCCACTCATGTTGGCCATTACAATGCTTCAATTGATGAAGAAGAATTGATGAAGATTGGACAAAACCCTAACAGTAGTCGTGCCTCCTCTCCTCCAAGACTGCTTGCTTTTCTCAAAACACAACTTATCTTTTTATAAGAGAATTTGAGTCGGGTCTTGCATCATTCATTCGCTTAAGCGCTCTTCTTTCTTTCAATTTTACTCCAATTATGTTTGACAATCATGCTTCTTACTCTTGTATCAAGGTATTCTCGAATTCATCCTATATTGGGAGAAAAATATATTAGAATTAATATAAGTTAAGTGGTTTCATAACAATTCAAGACATAATTATATCAACTTTTTACCACTTAACAAAGACCTTTGCTATGTTTTCTATTTCTACATTTTCATGTTTAGCGCAAACATATACTATAGTCTTCCATAGAAGAAATTTGACTGAAATGAAGATTTCTTTATTTAAGTCTCTAATCTCTTTCAATTTTGCTGCTTTATTGAGAAGATAAACTATGCAATGCAAGCATAATGATTTATGATTAATTCACTTTTTTATATATGTATCATAAGGTCTACAAGGTCTATGTTGCTATAGTATTGAAAAACTAGGAGACATGTTTAATGTTTCCACGTTTACTCGTCGTATGTAATTGAAGAAGCCACCTCAAAATCAATCTCTCACCAACTTTGATAACTCAAATGAAATTCATTTTTATCAATATTTTTTTATGAATCATTTTGTAACATCAATCACACTTGTACTCTTTATACTCTCAAGTACACGGATCACAAGGATCATAGAATAACAGATTTAAATATATAAAATTAAGAAAACAAAATAATTTTTTTTAAATACATAATAATAATTTTAACAAAAATCAAATGTGACCTAAATTGTGTACACTATTATCTCATACTCATGAGCTTATATTAAAAGAAAAAAAAACTAATATAATTTGGACAAGATATAATAAAAATAATCAAAATATAACATCTTCTTTCATCATTAATCTTCCAAACTAAATAAATTATTTTAAACAAAAAAGCTAAAATAATTTTTTTACTACTGTCCAAAAACAATGCAATCACAACTATCTGAAAACAAAACTCGATTCTAAAATATTTTTCTTCCTAAAAAAATGTCTTACTTAGTACATATCATTATAATGTATAGGGCAAATGAAAAATAATTTAACCCTACAGGACAGGAAGAGAAGAATAATCTAAATCACAGAACATAAAAATTCGATGAACATAAAAATTCGATAAACACTCACCATAATGAGAGGAAGTGCGACGCAAGCTAACGAAAGCGCAACGAAGATCAACGAGAATATGTCTGGCTCCGTTTATCTCCTTCAACCACCCTAAATCTGTGTAAATGATGGCGGGTGGTTTATCTTCTCTCCTTAACTCTTCTGCAATCTTTACCAATCAAATGGATGATGATCTCTCAAATAACAATTTATTTTTTCCGCGTTTTCTTATTCTAATTTCCTTGGAGTCCATGTGTGCCTGGGTTTCCTTTTTCCTGATTTTACTCTTTAATTTGATTGAAATATAAGTTACCAAATCGAATAAATAAAAAAATACCGTAAAAGCGGTTTCTGATGATAGGTGGAATCGGAAGAAATCTGCAGTTCATTGAACCACAAGGCATAAATTGGAGCAGCAAGTTCGTGCACCTAAAAGCTGTAAAAAGCACGTGCACCATAACCTATTTCAGTTCAATGTCACCCACCAACCCATGTATTATCTATCAACTTTCTATCTATAGCATTTCGAAATGAAAAAAAGTTCTATGATTAGTTTAAAATATCTCAAATGTACGTTTTAAGAACACGTCAAAAGAAAGATAGAAAAAAAAAGGAACAAAGGTTATTTGAATACCAAAAATCAAAATATTCACATTTTTTTTAATTATTGTTATATTAAATATATTTATGTTAATTTCATATATTTTTTCAGAACTCCACTAACTAAAGTTGTGAAAAGATAAAACCCAGTACTGGAATCTCTTTCCCCTAAACCCTTTCTACTGTTTTGTGTTGCGCCTCTCGTTCTCTTCACAATGCAGTCCACACTCTTCTCTCCCACTTACACAGTTATCCCCAATTCGCCGCAATCTCTCAGATCCCATTCTCGTTCATGTTCTCTCTCCGTCCGAGCCTCCATCGCGGTGGACGCTGCCACCGATGCGCCCAAGCTCAATAAGTACAGTTCCCGCATCACGGAGCCCAAGTCGCAGGGCGCGTCTCAGGCCGTGCTCTACGGCGTCGGACTCTCCGAGGAGGACATGGGGAAGCCGCAAGTCGGCGTCTCCTCGGTCTGGTACGAGGGTAACACTTGCAACATGCACCTCCTCCGCCTCTCCGAGGCCGTCCGAGACGGCGTGGCCGCCGTCGGCATGGTGCCGTTCCGCTTCAACACCGTCGGCGTCAGCGACGCCATCTCCATGGGTACCAGAGGTATGTGCTACAGCTTGCAGTCTAGGGACCTCATTGCCGATAGCATCGAAACCGTTATGGCTGCGCAGTGGTACGACGGTAACATTTCCATCCCCGGCTGTGACAAAAATGTAAGACCCATGTCGCTTTTGCGCTCCACGTGTTTGATGTTATGTCGCCGTGAGTGTATCTAACGCCTTTATAGATGCCAGGTACTATCATTGCCATGGGCAGGCTCAACAGACCTAGTATTATGGTTTATGGCGGGACTATAAAGGTAAAATCTCTTGAATTATAGCCACTATCTTGAATTTTGCCTTTTTTATTAATCATTTACTGTTAGCTGAATGTACTATTGCTACTTTTGTAATATTTTTGCAGTTAATTCAGTAGATATTGCTACTAATAGTTTAGTATTTTTTGTTGAAAGTGGTATTTTTCTTTCGGAAAATGTGAAATGTATACACCAAAATGGGGCATAAGGAGGTGGAAAGAGGAGAAAGAATAGATGCGATGACTTATGTTTTGAGAGAAGAAGAAAGAGATAGGAAGAAAATGATGTGAAAAAGGAGATGAAAGAGAAAGTGGAACAGGAATATTCACCCCCTTTCTCCGTGGTTTCGATTCAGGTGTTGTTTTTCATCGACGTTCTAATTTTGATTATTGTTATTTTTTGTTTCAGCCTGGTCATTTGCAGGGCAATACGATTGACATAGTGTCTGCCTTTCAGGTAAGAAAAGTAGTTGTTTTTTTTTTTTAAATGTCTTCCCATCTCTTCATTGTGTGTTCGTAAATTGATTTCTCCTTCTTTTATTTTGCACTTATTTACACATACGTAAATTCTGCTAAACTAAAGGTATTTTCTTTAAGAGAAGGAAAACCAATACGACGGGGTGTAAGAAACCCTCTTTGGACAACTGATAAGCTGGAAAAAAATGAATATAAAACTTATAAGAGCTCTCCAAGCAATTCACATTTCTGAGAGATTTTTAAATTCAAGGAGGATGGTCTATCCTCCGTGTTATTTATTGTACTTTTCCTTCTGTAGTAGAGTTTTCTTTTTAAATGAAAGAAATGATATTGTTCATATTGGAAATTCTATACTCTAAAATATAAAATTGTTTTTCCTGAGCAGCAAAGTTGGATGAGTACTGTTGAACAAAATGCAGTTCTAGTTATTCAGGTTCCATTAATTTCTGATTTTCCTGTAGTGCTATGGAGAATATGTGAGTGGATCAATTAGTGATGACCAAAGACAAAATGTTCTTCGTAACTCTTGCCCTGGTGCTGGGGCCTGTGGTGGCATGTATACAGCCAATACCATGGCTTCTGCAATAGAAGCTATGGGAATGTCTCTTCCCTATAGGTTAGTTATGAGCAGTTTCTCTCTCCTGTTTTCTTTTAGAATAATGCTTACCTTTATTCGCTGTTCCTGTAGCTCATCTACACCCGCTGAGGATCCACTAAAGTTGGATGAGTGTCGGTTAGCTGGGAAATATCTACTGGAGTTACTGAAAATGGACTTGAAGCCCCGAGATATCATCACTCGTAAATCACTACGTAATGCAATGGTTATAGTTATGGCACTTGGTGGATCTACTAATGCTGTGCTACATTTAATTGCTATAGCCAAGTGAGTGAAGTTTGATGCCAGAGATCTTATTGATACAAAATTATCCAGAGAGGGGACCTCAAGTGTAATGATTTTGGCAGGTCTGTTGGCATTGATTTGACTCTTGATGATTTTCAGAAGGTTAGCGATGAGGTTCCGTTTATTGCAGATCTTAAGCCTAGCGGCAAATATGTCATGGAAGATGTTCACAAGGTATGCATTTGATGGTTTTGTTAAATAATTGAACATTGCTTCTCTTATCAATTTGTCCCAGTTATATGATTAATATGCTCTTTTGTCATTATTATTCTTGCTTAAAATTCTTATCGTTTTAACCTTTCTTTGGTAGATTGGAGGGACCCCTGCAGTTATCCGCTACCTTCTTGAGCAAGGCCTTTTAGATGGTGACTGTTTGACTGGTATGTTTATAACCCTTTGTGGTTAGACTGTTAAGAACAGAAGATTAATTTCCAGAAGATATACTTATCTCTAACATACATATACCCCCTCGTTAGTCACTGGAAAGACCCTCACTGAAAATGCAGAACTTGTTCCTCCGTTCTCCAAAGGGCAGGTATCAGTATGATGTTATTTCTGTTGAAATTTACCTTATTCTAATAAACTGATTTCTTGACAAATTACAATTTTACTGTGATGCATGATTCAGGAAGTGATAAGGCCAATAGAAAATCCCATCAAGAAGACTGGTCACATTCAAATATTATATGGAAACCTTGCACCACAGGGTTCTGTCGCTAAAATTACTGGGAAAGAAGGGCTGTACTTTTCTGGTGAGCTTTCTTATTCTGTTTTCTTTAATATCCAAAAAATTTGCTTTGCTCAACTTATATCTTCCCGTACCACTTTTTTTTATTAATACTAGATTATTCAACAGGTCCTGCACTTGTGTTTGAAGGAGAGGAGGCGATGATTTCTGCCATTTCAGAAAATCCTTCAAATTTTAAGGTATATTTTTGTATTTCACCTTGAATTTCAAAACATGCAGGGACTATTCTTGCTGCAGGGTTGTCAAGAGACTGTTTGAATGAAGAATCAAGAATTGCAATATCCAAAAGTTTTACTATTTCATACATGCTTGTCAACCTTTGGTATTGGATTGAGAATTTTACGCTGATTTTTTTACAAGCTTCCTTTTCAGAAAAACAAATTAAACATTAATCACTTCACTTAATAGTTTGAACTTAATTTTAACCAAAATCAATTTCACCAATCAAGATCATAAAAAGTGTTTGTAAATGCACACCATCATTAGTTATAAAGGTATACTTGTTTAACTACAGGTTTGTTTCTTTTCAAAATAAGTAATGACTTCAGAGAAATAGCATTTTTCAACGTTTCTCAGAATTGCAATATTTTTTTTGAGCAGGAACAACAACTAGGTTTGTTCCTTATATTTTTGACTGATAGTCTCAGTGATTTGCTTTTGTTCTGATTCTGGTGCTAGTTGCACCAAATGTTTCTTCGAAACTTATATGGATTACCAAATTGGTTGAAATGATTGCTATTTGACAATTTTGTTGCAGTATTTATTTGGTTTGACACGGATATAACCACAATAAGTGACAAGTAAAATGGAAAGTTGGACATAAGATTTCTTGTGTTTCTATTTTATCAGGGGAAAGTGGTTGTAATCAGGGGAGAGGGACCTAAGGGTGGTCCAGGCATGCCTGAGATGTTAACGCCGACAAGTGCAATAATGGGTGCAGGGCTTGGAAAGGTTTTTCTTGCATCTTTTTAATTCTATTCATTTAGTTTTTAATTGTGTTCTGTCCATTATGACTATGTAATGTGTTAGCTAACTGACCTGTAGAGTTTTATTTTCATTTCTATTTTCCCACATTGTAATTCAAAACTCAATTGATGTGAGCGCTTATTTTCTTAATTTTATTTAGCCAAACACATGAACAGTGATTCCCCGGTCATCATTACTTTAGTAGAAAGAAACTGAAATGCCTATGCCTTATTTAAAGCATTATGAATAATGATAATGGTCCTATGCTGAAGTGACATTTCTTGATCGTATTGTCTTTTGATATTGCAGGAAGTTGCATTATTGACTGATGGAAGATTTTCAGGAGGTTCACATGGATTTGTGGTTGGCCACATATGCCCTGAAGCACAGGTGAATTGAATACTCTTTATAATCATTTTGCTACTGCTTTGATAGGATAAAGAAATAATTATACTTGTGTGTGAACGGTTATCTGTAAGATATTGGACCAAGTGCTTTCTTCACTTAATTATTAATAAAGGAATGTTTACTACCAGTAATATGTTGTGTATGCATGCCAAAGTCTTTGTAACTTTCGTCAGCCCCTAAAGTACTGTTTATATCAGTGTTATGAGAACCACCTGGTTTGGTTCGTCTCTAATAAACCTAGATTGGCCAAAATGACTGTTCTTGTGATTCTAGCAGTAGTGTTAAGAGAGTTAACTAAATATCAAATGATTAAGGTAAATTAATTGTGAGGAAACTGAAGACACCGGAGTGAGAAAGAAATATTTCTAAGTTATGGCAACGATGGTATATTGTGCCCTACCTTATTTTCAAGGGATCAGATACGTTACTTTAGCAATCTTTTGAAATTACTTTCCACAACTTTGAAATTTACTCAGAGGAATTAATCGTAGCTTGTTTGTGTATTTGGAAAAAATTGTAATTAAAACCTTTCAATATTCAAGCTATTTTATTGTATTGGGTGTGTAAGAGTGGTATGTCGGATTTTAAATGTTGAAGATCATGTTATAATGCTTTACTGTAATTATGTGCAAGTTTACTTCTGATTTTTATAATCAGAACTACAAAGGTAGAATTCTTTAGAGAAACCTATAAAAGTTGTGTTTAGTGGTTCTCATGTGCCCCATGAGAAATCAGTACAATATTTTGCTCAAATGGTAAAAAACTCAAGAAATTTCATGAAACTTACATTTTGAAGCAACTACTATGAAGTCATAGTTCCTTACATAAGAATCCCTTTTTAAGGGGAAGAGACCCACAATGCCACTTAGGCCCATTCCAATGGTAAATTTCTTCTATAAACGATTTCTTGAACATAAAGAATGGAGAAGAAATGGCCATTGGAGATGTTCTAAGAACATGAAAATTGTATTATAAAAAATTGATTGATACCCTTGCACGAAGAGATTTTGACGTTACATGATTTTATTTTCATTTCTTCATGGACTTGTTCAGTTATTTTCTCTTGAAGATAAAGAAAATATTGATAATTGATTTCTTATTGTGAACCAATAATTTTACTAGATTGATTTTATAGGAAGGTGGTCCAATTGGCTTGATAAAAAATGGAGACATAATCAATGTTGACATCCAGAAGAGGAGAATTGATGTTTTGGTATCTGATGAGGAGATGGAGGCTCGCAGGGAAAAGTGGACTGCTCCGCCATATAAAGCTAACCAAGGAGCTCTGTACAAGGTATGTGGCTTGAAGTGAAGGAAAAACGTAGACGTAATTTTATGGAGGTCTTGATACATGTTCCATATCACATGAATACTACACTGGTCCTACTATTTTCAGCTGTTCCAAGTTTTTCGTGGTTATGGGTAGATTTGTCCTGGGTCATCAACTTCTTCATTATAAAGGTTTTAATGATGCTTATGATGGAAAGGACTACATAGCATTGTTAGAAGTTCTAAGCTGATGTTACTGTGGTTAAACACAATTAAATTAACAAAAATACTAATAACCTTTAATGAATGATCAAGAGTGTATTTGTAGATTAGCCCTTGATAAATTTAAATTTGCACATCGCCACTTTTTATATAATAAAATATGATCTACACTTTTATTAGCAATTTTTTCTTCCCAGTGATTCTAATCCTATACTGTTTTTTCTGGTCCAGTATATTAAAAATGTGAAGTCTGCTTCTAGCGGATGCGTGACAGACGAGTAGAAAGACATATTTGCAGAGCAAAATCTGATTGTATGGCTCCGTGGCGTTTTGATGAGGTATTACAATATCGGCTTACACGGTGCATGTACATGTAGCCCAATGTGTCTCTTGGATTCATGTTATTTTTGGCTATATAATTCTAGATTTGAATGTCAACTGCTGATCTGTTATCTTGTTTGATCCGCTCGGTTTTTTCTTACAGTTATTACAAGTTGGCAAAAATTGAGTTGGAAGTTGATTATTAATTATGTTTTCTAGAGCTACCCCCATCTTTGTTGTTTATAGCTTCCGACATAGCCTACTATTGTTATTCCTAAATTCTAGAAAATTGGGTTTCATTGATTTGGAAACTACGAATGACGTTTCAAAACAATGAAAATACTGGTTCGCGATAGGGTGGAAAATGTTGAAAGTTTATGCTGTTGTATCTACAAGCTCGGTTGAACTGGCTGGCAAATACGTAAGTTCAGCCGTGATGATAACATCTTAGTTTCTTCAGTACCTAAAAGGGATTTGACTAAATATTCCCTTCTTTGATAAACCAAGTTCTCTTTTATTTTGGGGTGGGGTGAAAAGTCAAGTATGAGTAACTTGGTTCCCGTAGGAAAAAAATGGTTGTTGGATTGATAGTTTGTTAAGTTTTTATGTTTGTGAGTGTTTTATAGTTGAAGACTCGTGAGTCTTCAAATAATTATCCATTGTTCAGGTGGTGTTATGAGGACATATAAGATCATTATTGTTGATTCAACGCGATTTAATGTATTTCATTTATCTGTTTTCTTGAAAAAATATCTAAGCTCTAAATTCAATGAGTATCCAAATATTAAGTTTACATCACATTTTTTATTTAATGATTTCAAGACAATTAAATTCCACGTACATCCATTTATAAGATGCATATTGAATATATTTAATTAAAAACATTTTTTTTCTATGTCAAAGATTTGTGCAGTTGTGAAGAACTGCACATTAAGATATGTTAATGGGTTGACAAGGTTGTTATGATACATACATCACCCATTAAGATTAGGATTAACATTTAAATAATGGGTTCGACCAAACTAGTAAATCCACCCTAAACTTTAAATGGATTACCACTTTTCATAATAGAGTCATATAATAAAGAATAAACTTTTACAGCATCATTTTATCTTTTAAACTATTCAGATGAATTTTATTTTTTTAAATGCAAATTTTACTTCAACAAAGCTTGAATTTATTTGGAATAATGACTAATGAACGCTTCATTATATTTATTTGGCACAAGCCAAAAAGTGTGTTTGTCGACATATTTATTGATTATATTAAAGAGTATATATTTAAGTTAATTATTTAAAAAAATAATGAATGTTTTTTAACATCATCACAGTTCCAAATTAAAAAAAAAACACAATATGTATATATATATATATATATATATTCAAAGTTAAGATAAACAAAATTATACAGTAAAAAGGTATTAGCATTAAGCTCTTAATTTAAAAACTTTTAGAACAGATTAGGACGATGGAAGTAATATTTTTGTCCATAAAATTATAAGATGGCTGTCACTTTCATCCAAACACAACCAGGGAATGTCAACAATCAAACCAAGTGGACAAAGGCAATAAAAGTATTATTTGTTTGCGAGGTTAGGTTAAAGTTTTATAAATTACTTAAAATATTTATGTTAAACTTCAAAAGTTGACAATTTTGCACTCCTTATAGAAATATTTTATTAAAAAAATGTTGGCAACATGTCAATAAAACATCTATTAAACACCTGTTTATTATTAGTTTTATTTTTGAGAAAAACAAATTATGTTGATCTCATATTTATTAATTTTCATTTATAATTTAATTTTTAATATCTCTAATCAAGAATAAAAAAATATTAAAAAGAGAATGTAATAAAGTGTGTTGAAAACACTTGTCCTTTTATAAATACTTCTACCTACTAAAATTGCATGTAATTACCGTCTCTATCCTCCTCAGATGATAAGCAAAACCGTGTTCAGCTATCAAACCGATAGAGGAGGAGCACCCAGTATTTCGGTCCAAAACATTGATGTTTTCAGAGATCGAATTTGTTCTAGTTTGACTTTGACTTTAATGTTTCGTACTAAAGTACTACGGAATACAAAAATTTACTTTAATAGAACTTAAAAGTAACCAAACAACACTTAATGGTATATTTTATCGTTATGAATAGAAGAAAAATAAAAAAAAATAATGAAAAATAAATGGTCTAACCTTGTTTTAAATTAATAATTTATTACAGAAAATTATGTTATAGATAAATCCAACGAATCTATTAAGATTTGCGACATGATATGCACGTGTAATTGGCAGAGCCATTACATTTGTAGTTTCAAATATTAAAGAATTATTATATTAAGAAGCAAAAGACGCTCCTGTCCCCCTCCACGTATGCCAGCTGTAGTGTCCATAAGTAGCCATCCTTTTTTGACGAAAATGAAGAAGACGAGATCTTCCATACTATAAAAGGACTAAACACACCGATACCTTTCATCATCTTTCTCTTTGCAATGGCTCCCTCTTTTCTCCTCCATTTCCTCCTAATCTCAATTGGCCTTTTCTCAGTTTCTTGCTTATCAGCATCTCATGCTCCCAACTCCAAACCACACCCATTTATCCTTCCCATTAAGAAAGACCCTGCAACCAATCTGTTCTACTCTTCAGTTGGCGTAGGAACTCCTAGACACAACTTTGATCTAACCATTGATCTTGCAGGTGAAAACCTATGGTATGACTGTAACACTCATTACAATTCATCCTCCTACAGTCCCATCGCTTGTGGCTCAAAGCAATGCCCCGAAGTTGGTTGTGTTGGCTGCAATGGCCCCTTCAAACCAGGTTGCACAAACAACACATGTCCTGCTAACACAATCAACCCATTAGCAAATTTCCTTTTTGGTGGAGGCTTAGCTGAGGATTTCATATTCATTGTTCAGCACAAAGTATCTGGCTTGCTTTCCAGCTGTGTTGACACCGATGGATTCCGATCCTTCACCAATGAGGAGTCACCTCTATATGGCTTGCCCAAAAACAGCGGAGGAATTATAGGCCTTTCAAAGTCACAACTTACATTACCTATTCAGCTTGCAGCTGCTAATAAGCGTCCCTCCATGTTTTCTCTCTGTTTGCCCTCTTTAAACAACGCAGGTTTCACCAACTTGCTTGTTGGAGCTGGGGAATATCCTCTGGGAATATCAAAGTTTCTCAAAACCACCCCACTCATTGTCAACCCCATTTCCACAGGTCCTATATCTGTGCAGGGTGTTGCTTCCAAGGAATACTTCATTGATGTGAAAGCAGTTAAGATTGATGGCCATGTTGTGAACCTAAAGCCTTCCCTTTTGTCTATTGACAACAAGGGAAATGGAGGCACCAAGATTAGTACCATGACTCCTTTCACCGAGTTACAAACCTCTGTCTACAAGCCTTTCATTCGAGATTTCCTCAAGAAAGCTTCAGACAGAAGATTTAAGAAAGTGGCACCGGTGGCCCCATTTGAGGCATGTTTTGATTCAACCACTATTGGCAAGTCTGCAACAGGACTAGATGTGCCAACTATTGATCTAGTGCTGCAAGGGGGACTGCAGTGGACTATTCATGGAGCCAATTCCATGGTAATGGCAAAGAAAAATGTAGCATGCCTGGCATTTGTTGATGGAGGGACAGAGCCTAGAATGTCGTTTGTGAAAGCTTCAATTGTTATCGGTGGATATCAGTTGCAGGACAATCATTTGGTGTTTGACGTGGCTTCCTCCAAATTAAGCTTCAGTTCATCGCTTTTGCTTCACAATGCCACATGTTCTCACTCTTGAATCGCATATGCTTATCACGCATTAAAGTTAGCCACGTTGAAGAATATGTAGTAGTAGCTTCTATCTTTCCATTTTGAGGAGAATAAAATAATAAATTTGTTTGCTTTGTAGTTGTAAGCAGAAACATACAGTGGTGTTTCTTGTGTGTTATTTATTTTACTTCAAGCTAGTCGGAACTGTAATTTTCCTAGTATACAATTCATAATTACAAATTTCTAAATGATATAATATATATAATTATTTAAAGTTATTAATAATAATTTTCTTCGTTTTTATTTGTTATTATTTCAGTTTTCCTCTCCAATGAATTTCTTGTCTTAAAAAATAAATAAGACATTTATAGAAATTGAGAAGTAAGAATATTTTAGCAAAATAAGTTATTAAATTACATTTCAAATATTACATTAAATGTTTCAAAAAAATTAAATTAAAAATGTTGCATATAATAAAACTATATTTCGATTTTTTTATAATATTATTTTTTTCAATGTCAAACAATAAATTATTATTGGTTAATCATTAGATGGCAGACAAAGAAAAAAAGAGAGAGAGAACTAAGTCGGTCTAGAAATAAAAATTACCTGTCTCGAAAATAATAAAATTATCAAAATCAGTTATATTTTATTTAAAAATAAAAAAAAGATAGGTGATTTTAATCTCTCGCCTAGATCATGTCTCTCAATATAATAAATACGCACGAATTTTTTTCTGAAATGAAATGATAATTTTATGATTGAAAATTTTGAGTGAAAATTTTGAGAATATATAAAGGGTTGTTGACTTTTTTTTCATAAATAATATTGTTTTTAAAAATATTTTTTAAAATAGCACCTCTGCAAAACTTTATTTACACAACTAGCACTGTTTTCACGTAATAAAATAATATTATTTTGCGCAACTGTTTATTGTTCATGTATTAAAATAATATTATTTCGCGCAATGAACTCTCGCTCAAGCGAAGAAACCCTTCGCTTGAGCGAGGAAATCTGTGGAACACTTCTTTGATCATTCTAAGCCACTCCACAAAATTGATGCTTGACAGCCCCACAACCTCAAACACTTTAACCCTGAGTAACCAACCAACCATCAGTAAAGAAATTTTAAATTCTCTTTACATGCTATCATCCCCATATTCACCTTCAATGAATCAATTACAGTCAGCTCCAGGTA